AGATCGGAGGAGGCGAGGGAGGGGGAAGGAGGGAAGAAGTAGTGTACTCTCCGACCCTCTAGTTCTGATAGAAGGGTACTGCTGATTGTTCAGTAGGCGGAAGCACCGAAGTCTCCTTACAACCTTGAAGACAAATGAACTTTTTTGATGAAAAATATAGCGCAAATTGAAGAATAAACGATACAGGAGGATATGTTGTGTCGGGAACGCGCTACTATTTCGACAATCGAATTGACGGTGACGTTCGCGCCGTGACACCAGATGTAATGAAAGAAGACTACGCTGCAAAGGAGAACAGTAGAGAACAAATCGAAATGATGCAGGTAATGTTTTAGCTCGAAATAAGCACTAAAAATCAATTGTAGTGTGGTTACGTGGAATCGACTCAGCGCTCGAAGGTCATATTGTGGGCCAAGTTTCGAAATGTATTTCCCAAAGATGGGGAGGGCGTGGCTGCGTACTTCATTTGAGCATGGAATAGGATGTGTTTTTCATGCGGTCTTCATACTCGGAACAATCGCTTTCCAGACTTCGACTGAGATAAAAACATGATTACAATAGTAACAATACAGCAAAACCTCACCCGAAGGGCAGCTGCCCCTTTGTTCAAATGAAGTACGCAGCCGCGTCCCCTCTAGCTCCACGATACGCGCGCGGTGCACTTGTGATAACCGGCGGCATAGGGAAAGTTAGAAACTCCTTTCCTGGAACAAGGCACGGGTCGGGGTGTCACTTTCAAAATCCCCCCATTTTTCGATGGGTAAGGGTTATGAGAAAGGGCCAGCAGATCTGCAATGCGGCAACAGGCAGAACTATATGCGGTATTTCTCAGGTGGCTGTCACGACTTGCTCCAATTTTTCAGCGTCAAACAAGTGCGGTCCTGGTGCGAATGCCGTGCACGCGACGCCACTTACAGCGTCGCGCCGTTGAAACCCGATTTCCCTGACGGGTAAGCCGAAGTGGAGCGTTTTAGAGGTACAGAGCAGCGTCAAGCACCATAACAGTTATGATTTATTTGATTTTACTTATTCAAGTTGAAATCTGAGTGCCTCATAAGGTAGTCTGGTTGGCCAGAGGCCAAAAGAGCAATGCAGGCTTGCCATATGGGCGGATATGGGAGGGGTAGCCACTTCTACTTTCTAGGGCCTCTCTTTTTTATTTCGGAAGCAGGGTCGCACTAATGGCGAAGGCGCAGTGGCTGACTATATCCGCCCACACGACCATCGCTGACGGTTCTCGGGGTTGAACCAGCTATGCTACACCACGGGATCGCGCCTCGCTCACAGCAAACTGTCCAGATTGACAATTCTATGCATCCTCCAAATGGCAAAATTTCAGGATCCCCGCTTTCGCAGTCGAAGTGGAACTGTCAGGTCTGAAGATGCCGAAAACGGTGAAGTACGCTCAAGAAGGGACAAAAGTATACAAGAAGAAACACCTATATATGGTTTGTCAGCCACTGAAAATCCGAGAAGATTCTTCTTCAGAAGTCGTAAGGTTTTCGTTTTCCAGGCTTACGAGCCTGACCCTGTATCTACTGTGTCACATACGCGTCGCGGTGATCGTCTGTTTGAACGAAGAATCACGGAAATCGGTGGAAAGAAGGTATGTTGAAGTAGCAAATCCAGATTTTGTTCGATTTGCAGGGTACAGCCGCGAGCGGTCGTCAAGCGACTAGCAATATGGCCGCATTCATACTATTGCGCAGTGCGTGCAATAGCGGTCCACCAGCGATCGCTGGCACGTCCCAGCGATCGTGCCAGCGACTTGCGGGACTAGAGAGCGTAGGGGAAAAAAGGCAGGAGGGTAGGCAAACGGTCTAAATTAGACGTCGTCAGAGTACCGCGTGCGCAACGCACCGCCACAAGTTGCTAAAAGCGCCGATTTTGCAGTTTATGCACCAGTGTTGTATAAGCTTGTACGACGCTATAGCTACACTGTTGCATAATTACGCCGTCACGACGCCTTAGCCAGCTGTTGCCCTCCTACTTCTCCATACTCTCTACTCCCGGTCGCTGGTGGACGCTGGTGGACGCTGGTAGACGCTGGCAGACGCTAGATCGATATCTATACTTTCCTAGTCGCTGACGCTGCCGGACGCTCGGAACGCTAGTGGTCGCTGGTGGACGCTGCCGCAAAGTATGAACGCACCCTAAGGACAGAGCAAAAGCTAGTAAGCACTGTGCCACCCCCATCGAAGCCTCCTCCTTGCCATACGATAAAAAGGAAGATGCCGCAATGCGGAAGACCCCGTGGTTATATGCCCCCACACATTATGCTGCTCAAATAATTAGAATATGTCTTCTTGCCCAATACTCGGTTGTCACAGATCTTTTTCAGGTGACCGTTGAACTAGGCAACAAACATCTGCATGGTGTCGACCTGATAGTCCGTCCAGGCTCGGTTGTTCATGGTTCTCTGCCTTCCGGTGAAGAAAAAGCTGTCGTCGATAGGGTCAGACTCGACAAAAGTAGGTTTACCCCACAAATAATCCAATCCATACCTCGCAAACTGAACTTTGAGAGGTGGGAATTCGCGCTCCTCACGTGAAAATTGTGGATTGGATAGCTTCATATTCCGTGATATATATCCTGAAGCTAATCTCATTTTCAGGAGCTGTTTCAGGAATACTAATTCCTTATACGCCCATAGATCGTAAATCCTCGAACTTTGGAAATTCCTTGGAAAATCCTCTGGATTCGGGAGAATCACTACTGGCACAATCAGAAGACGCTCTTGACCTCCCACGCAGTCTATCATTCGACCAGCAGAATTTCTTCTGGAATACTGAAGTAAGAAACAAACTATTCTCTTCAAATTCTCGCGACGGCCTTTGAAGTTACTTTAGCTAAAAACACGGAGACAGCACAATTACTCAGGCCCCACAGAAGATCCCTTCTCGTCCGAGCCAGCGATGCTCCTCATTTCCAATTTGGCCCAGAGTACTGGTACCAGGCCTGCTTTTTAACGCTGACTTCAGCATCACACCCGCCTCCCCCCACTGCCCATTTTAGGAAAGGAACTGCGCATTTGAAGACAAACTCTACTCACATCCGTAGAACCTGGTCCATACCTTATGTGGGGTGAATGGGTCCGTAGCTGCAGTAAGGGTGCCACCTTCTACGCTCGAAAGTGCAAGGGAACGGAGCTGGAGCGTACTGGAGGGTAGCGATACCTGGATGCCGTCTCCTAACTCCGCCTGCGTTACCCTCAGTATGCAGCACCTGCATCGACACGTGAGATCTCACGAGCCGGAACCTTGGAGGGAACATTCTGAAGTGAGAGGGCACAGAGCAAGTAGCAGCGCTGGCTATAGTCCAGGCGTGTGCTAGCTGAGCTGAGCGGGTAATGTATTCTTGCTTAGCACTATGCCAATTGCCGCACTATCTCATCTGGACCAAAACTCGAGCAAAAAGTCGTAAGCAAAGGCGTGATATCGAGTTTCTGTATCAGATTATTTGAGAATATGGTTGAACTATTCAGATTGACACAAAGTCTGATTGAAATGTGCTTTTTCGTTCGGACGGACACTCAATTGACTGGAAAAACTCCGATAATGAAGTATATCGGAGAAACTGAGCCTGACTGTATCTTGGAATGTGTACGGTAAGAGATTGAACTTGCCGAGGATTTTGGCGCTGTTCGGCTTAGAGGGGCATATTGCACTTCCGCCAGTTCTGATATTTCATGCTCACCATCAGTAAAAACGTCTTACTTTGATAAGCCCTGTAAACTCCTTTTGGAATTCGCGAATGTTACAAGGGGTACCAGCAACTCACAGAGATCTTCACAAGATCACTGAGTATCATTTGCTGCCCCCACCAAGCCGAACTGTGTCGATTTTCTATAATGTATCCTTACTTAGGCTGGAAAATTTCAATGGCCAAGTAAATTGTTTCATATTTGCAGTAGTGTTTTGATTTGCATTTTAACCATTTCTCTATTGTCAGTTTCACCGCCTGTCCACTGTCAACCTACAGCCGTTATCGCTGCGTATGCTGGGGCGTGTCAAGGGGCTGAGTTTGGCGCAGCGCCAACCTTCTTTCCGTCGATTGCTTGCTTCAGCAAGTGGTGGGGAACGAGCTGGCGGCGCGCCGAATCCAGCCACTCCTCACGCCGCAGCCTCTGCAGCTTACTAATCTTCCGCAGATATTTGGTAACTCTTTCAGGGACAAACGATGTAGTTCGGTGAACTACTCGGGGACGATGTCTACATGTGAAATTTTCGATGAAATCGACATTGATTCAATGCAAATACAGTATCAGCTTGGCTACACTTTCTATATGCCAAAGCAAACAGACGTTCATTCTTGTCTCAAAGGTGAGTATGTTAAAGGTACAGTCCACATTTGTCGTATGGGCGGAGTCGGGCATGTTCTATCCCCATTGCATTCTTTTTCTCTCTGCTGCCAGGAAACAAGCGCGCAGGCCTGACTTCGCCCATACTATCAGCTTGAGCTTTTAGCTTCTCTCATTCGATTCAGCTAACACAATTCGGGTGGGTGATATCTCGATTTAGAGAGTGGAATGAGAGATTTTATCACAAGAGTGCTGAGTTGTGGGCAAAAGTCGTGCCCCAGGCGGGAGTCGAACCCGCACCTCACGCTTTCCGGGCGAGTGCGCTATCCGTTACGCCACAAATTTTTGTCAAGCTGTTTTATTATAACAGAAGAGAGTTTTTATTGTTCTGGACGGTTGGGGTATTTCCCCAACCAAGTCACGGGAGGGGAGCTCACATTCGGTAGCCGAAGCAGAAGGGAAATTGCATTCATCCAAGCAGAAATTGTCCTTAGGGCCAATCAAGAACCTCCCATGTGGGGGATTTTCTTGTAGTTGGTCAGAAATGTCCCACTTGAGGGTCGTTCAGTACGGCTCACCGACGCAGCTTCCCTGCACGATTCGCAAAGTCATTTTGCCCTTTCAGATATGATGCGAATGGGAAAACAGTTTTCTCCTCTCGAATCAGGGCCAAGTATAATGTGCGATGGAGGAAGCTCTTGTAGGACATCAGCGGTGCTTAATGTGGCCCTTGACGATGCTCATCCACCCATCAACTACCGATTACTTCCATCAAAAGGCAAGGGTTATTTCTCAGTCATTCGAACAAGTGCCCTCCAGAATGTACGATTCAGCCGCTTGCTCACAAGGATCCGCTGTGCTCTTCATTCGTTCTGCCCATTCTCGCGACCAAAAAGGCAAGATTGTGAATACGGTCAGTAATATCAGTGAAGATGATTGTCTCTTCTCGTGCCTGACTAATAAGGTGAGATTCTTTACGGATCCCTTTACCTACCAAGCTAATCCCTCCGATCCTTTTACCTACCAAGCTAATCCCGTCATTCCCCAGGTACTGCACTCGCAGTACAGTACATTGCTTCTTCCGCCGAGTACGACGAGAACGGAGGGCGTTGCTCGTTGAGCTCTGAGCCAAGAACGAACGAGCTCACCAAACATGAATCGACAACATTGTATGAGAAAATATGCGTTACAGGTGGAGTTTCCTTCCAGTTATAGGGCCCAGTTCGGCGACAGGGGCGAGGGGGGGCCGCTTTTTGCATTTATTTCTACTTCCCATCACATGTGTTGCTATTCGAGACGGCCTCTTCCCGAGTCGACGGGTTTACCATGATGGATTGACGACCTTGCTCCAGCTTCACAGTAGCTCACAGATTTCGCCAGAGTGAGACTTGTAAGCGGAACTAGTGAGACAATGGTAGTACAAGCGACCCCAGCACCCCGTGCCGAAACTGCGCCCAATTATAGCTTTCTTTGTTACCTGCTCACTCTAATCGTCGACCTCGTCCACTCTGTGGCATTTTTTAGATTTCGCTACTAATAGAAAGATGTTCTCAAAAAAATATCACTTATTATGGGAGCTCGCAAAAACGCAAGATCATAAGTAGAGGCGGTGTACAACACCCCAAAAAAATGCACGTGAAATTAATTGTGTCAAGTCATCGTTGGACGCACGCAGTCGGCATGCCATGAGATCACTTTAGTACTTTCAAGTTTTGTGAAGCGTAGATTCCAGGCTGGGGATCGGAAGTAGAGCGACGGGACACCGTCTACACAGCCCAGATGTCTGCCTAGCCAGAGAATTGAATTGGTGGAATTGTGTGCAAGCTGTGGATCCCTTGCCCACACCGTAATCCAGCCACACGACTCAAAAAACTGTATCCCTTTTCTTTCTTGAGTTTACAGTTCCAATTAGAAAGCTACGGAAAAGCGCTAGGGCGGTTGAGAGGTAATGGCTAGATTAGGAAACGCCGGTGCCCTTTTGTCTGTGCCCTATTGACTAGGGGAGCTGGCACCGATGAGGACGCAGACGGGCAGACGATAAACATGTTCCTGTCTCACCTCACAAATTGAACTCAAGAAGATATGTAGGTGGGGTGCTATTCATGTATAGAAGGTTAAGTGTGCACCATATTTCTCAGCAGGGGTACAAAGTGGAGCCACGGACAAACGATCGGCGGTTCGAGGAACGAAGTTGGGGTGGGGGGGGGATCGGGTTTGGGGAGGGGAGAGATGAGCGGGAGCGCGCAGTGGGCTTTTCGCTTGCTCTCGATGCAACCAGTATTAATGGTGGAGACCTTCAAAATCTTGTAAAACTGTACAACAGTTCGGATTTCGTTCACATTTGGCAAGAGTCTACAGGTTTCACCAAGGTGAGACGCATTAGTTAACAAATCCTCTCCCCCCTCCCGTCATTCCCCACTCTATGGCTTTTTAAGAAACTCGAGAATTTTTCTGAGAAGAAACTTGGAGAATTTTTCAGAAAAAAAAACTCTGGAGAAGTGGTAGAAAGCTAGGAAAACATAGAAAGATGGTAGGCAGGATGAGGTGGTATGGGGAAGAGAAGAGTTCGTAGCAGAGGGAGAAAAAGAAGGGTGGTCGTTTGCAAAAATTCTCCCCAGATGCAGGATCTGCCCTGATCTAGTAAAGAAAGTAGCAGACTGGAAAATGCTTTTTCTCCTAAGCCAAACAGCGCCGCACTGTGTTCAAGTTGTCCGTAGGCTTACCAGACGTTGCTATGGCGAAGGACCTCTGGAAAACTTGAAACTCGTTTTCTGTTCCACTTCATTCAGAACCTAGTGCTAATGCATCACGGGAAATCCTTGCTTTCGTCGCGCCGCCGCAACTTGGACCTCCTGACCAGTATGACGACTGGTATTCACTGGCCCGACCCTGGCTTTCATTAAATCGTTAGACCGAAAGCATTCCTTTCCATTCTTCTCTAGGGGCAATCAATCAATATCGTGTATTTCTCTGAAGGGGGCTATCTGGATTTTCAACATTTTGGGTTTCTTAACGATCTCTATTCTCAGAAAGCGTCTCCAACCAGTGTTCGGGTGCAGCAGTGGATCGGATGGCCAACATCGTCTTGGTAGGTTACATGCATGACACTGCCACTACCGTTTCCATCGAAGAATGTATCGAACGATGTGTACGGTCTGAAATCATGCTTGGATTCCAATGTTTATCGATTATGTACTACTATGAGGTGAGCTGCTCCAGTGAGACCCACTACCGTATACTCTGAAACTGAGTTCTTCAGGAAACGGTATTGAACTGCATACTGAATGACGCCAGTGTTCGAACAAATCCTGAATCTGTGACGGACGTAAATTCAACAGTCGTCGACTATTTTGGTATTGACGACTGCTATGGATTACCGGAGGCAATAGACGACCGTCAGGTTCGCAAGAAGAGTTCGAAGACGACGCGAGCGGATGCAGCGCGAACTCGCGGGAAAGCGACTGCTCGTGTCGCATCCTGACACGGCTGTCTGAGGCGGGGTTTAGACTTCGCGATGACGCGCATCGACGATTACAATTGCAACAGCGCTCCAGTCCTAAAGACGCGAGGGCAGCCGCAGACGGGAGTCGACCGGAGCAGGCTGCTCACGTTTTGAGGAAGGCAGGGACAACTTTACGCAACCTGGTACTCTCCCATTCTTCCATACTCACCCAAAGCCCTACCAGGCACAGCCGATCGATAACAGATTGCGTAATTAGGCAACGAGTACTCTCCCGTCTTCCCATACTCCCACAATACAGAAGCGGCCAACTCCGACGGATTTCCGTCTGCGGCTGCGTTCGTGTCTGGGATTGGAGCGCTGTTGCAATTGTAGCGCGTCGACGGGCGTCACCGCGAATTCTGAACGCAGCGTAAGGCTACGTTCATACTTTGTGCCTCGGCGTCGAGGTAGAATTAGCGTTTCGAGCGAATTGGCGTTACTAGCTAAAAGGACTACATAGATATCGATCGGCGCCAGCCACTAGCGTTTTTGGGAGATTCAGCGTTTGAAGCGAATCGGCGTTTTAAGCGAAAAAAATGATACATATATCTATCGGGCCCAGAGCACGATTCGTTCAAAACGCTGCCAGCACTGAGCTACATGAAAATCTCAAAATTGATCAATGATGACTATCTTTTATTTAGAACTTCTCAGAAATCCTCCACCTCCCTGTTGATAACGCCATCGCAAGCTGAACAAGAGCAAAGGTGTAGCATCTTAGCGGAGCAATAATCCAGCTCTCCATGATTTTTTGATTAAATTTTGATTTTCAGAAAAGCACCCGAAGTGAAGAGAGAAATTCGTCTTCAATACAGCTCAGGAACCATACGACATCAACGATAGTTTCGCTCACCTGCTCCATTCCACTTATCCAACTGGCCATTGACAAGCTTTCAGGACAGCATACATAGAGTAGTCCTTTGACACCTATTCATCATGATCACTATACA